AAAAAAAATAAAAAAAAAAAAAAAAAAAAAAATATATATATATATATATATATATATATATATATATATATATATATAAATAATAGATATTTTAAAATATCTATCTAAATTCAAGAAAGATGTAAAAGGTAGCATTCAAAATAAAGTTTATTTATTTTGTTTTATAAACAGGAGAAAATGTTCAAATTATGGTTTTTAGTTCTAATATTCGATTTCACTCATATAATTTAAAAAATTAAATCGTCTTATTTAAATATAATTTTTTTTCTGACAAAATAATATACTCATAGATAATTGAAACAAGCTATTAAAATGAATGATTTTTATTTTGATAATTGGAGTGGATAATTAGTGTTACCCATAAGTTCATTAATTTTTATTTAATAAATTAATTTTGGTAATCGAGATGTACTCTTAATCGAATATTCGTAGTTATAAAAAAGAAGGAAAAAAAATATCGAAAGGGGTCGTAAGATTACCAAAATACCCTAAAACGTACGATCAGAGCGTGTAGGGCTAAACGGTCTCTACCGACTCCCAATCAACACCAAATTCCTTCTCGCGGTCGGGAACTCTGGTTGGAACAACGTTTATAAGGCGTAAACATCCCGCGTCGATTTTCTTTTCTTGCTATTTGATCTTTTTCTTTCTTTGGTTGCCAACGGAATTCGTAAGAGCAGCAATTTTGACGCCATTGGAAAACTGCGCAACTTCATCCGTTTACTCAATTTCGTCTTCACCCCAGGTAATTTGCCGTCTTTCTTTGATTCTTTCTGACTTTTTCTTTCTTTATTTGATTTTCTTTTTGGCAGAACTCGGTGTTTTCCGGCGTTGATGTTCCTGCATTGCATTGCAAATTCTGAAATTAGGGTTTTGATGCTGCAGATAGTTCGGGTAGTGCCATTTTAGGTGTGTTATCTGGCTGTTGGAATTTCTTTCGAATGCGATGAGAGTTGTTCTTGTTTTCTCCGATTGATGAAGATGTTGTGAGCTAGTGGAACTGGTATTTGATTGGAGGCTATTGGTACACACATTTTACTTGTTTTCTATTTTGTTGCTCCATGCAATTTTTGAGTTATGGGTATCAATTGGTTTTCGTTATTGGCAAGATAGATGGGTTCATGTGATGACCCGGCTGTGATCGGGGAACCGTTTTGCGGCTCTGGTACTCGTCTGGTCAGCTGTTCGAGTCAACCTCTTCCCAAGCAGCAGTCACGCCAGGAGATGGCTTCCTTCCCATCTAGTTCTAGTGAGGGGCAGATGTTTGAACCAGTTAGGGAACTGGGGGTGAGTATGAATAATGTCTGCACGAATGTATCGGGGCTAGCGGCTGAAGGGGAGGATTGGATATTTAGAGGCCCCGAACATGTAGATACTCTACTATTGGAGGGAAGGTTGGGAAGTGATTCCGGTTCGGGCGATAATGATCCCTATCTAAACGAGGAGATTGAGGCTTGCATCTTGGGGAATAGAACATTGAGCTTGGGAATGGAAGAGTCTCCAGACGTTGGTGGTTTGGTTGATATTTTGGGCTGTAAAACTACCATGGCAATGATGTCTTTAACTGGGTCATTAGTAAATTCTGTTAAACCCGATGAAGTGGATAATAACACTTGTGCAATTGATGGCAGTGCAGAAGTTGAAAGAGATGATACAGTAGAAAATGGTCCTATTTTAGCAGGGACGTGTACTTGTACAGATGACTTAAAATCTCCTCAATTCTGTGAAATTGTTTCTAATTCAGCTTCTGCTGATGAATTGACAAGTGACTACATACAACAGAACGAGCTGGAAAATGATGGCACTGGTTGTTTGTTTTCAGAGGTCACCGATGGGATAACTGATGCTTCAGTTGTTATAGAAACAGACGTGTTGAATGAGATGTCCCCTTTACAGAGTGCTCGAGTACTATCAGTACGTTTGGGAGAATCAGTTGCCAATTATGATCAGTATATTTGCAATATGGACGGGGAGGGCTTCAGTGGTGGTATCTCTGGAGAAACAGTTATTAAAGTTGCTGATAGGAACAGCAATCCTGAATTGTGCTTGCAGATGTTGCCTTCACAAGGCTGCGAGAAGACAAGGGAATGGTTTCAATCTGATGGATCACCACTAACCAGTCACGCTCTAGAAAATGATCTGTGTGATGAAAAGCATGACAGTAATTCCTTATCCAAGTACGTTTCAGAGGTTGCAGAAGACGTTATTGATGTCTTGACTAGTCATAATGGTGATGCTGGACAACATATGGATCCCAAGATAGAAAATGACCATAATCTGGAGGAAGCTACTCTTCAAGTGAACCCATCTTCTAAGAGGAGTGGCCGGACGAAAACATCAAGCCAAAAAACTGTGACTAAAAGGGCATCCAGGAAAAGCAAAAAAAAAGTCTCAGAGGCACTGATACTTGACATTGCAAGGAGGAGGAGAAGCTCTATATCCAGGCCTGCTCGTCCTTCACCCTGGGGATCACTGGGTTATATTATTCGGTCATTTGAAAGAATTGGCGATGTTCTAGTAAATCAACGCCAGAAGCAAGGAAATAAGAAATCTGAAGGTAATCAAGGAGGCACCAAGCGGAATAAGAAACAGCCAAGTGAAAGTACACATAGATCAAGAAAAGGGATCCAAAGAAAATGTGCTACTTCAACTTCAACCAATCGTATTCGTTTGAAGGTTAAATTAGGGAAGAACGCAGGTCATAATTTTCTGAACATTGTGGTTCCCGAGATTGTTGATTCATCATTGTCTGCCAAGGGTAACAATTGCAATTATGGGGACGAATCGTATTGGGAAGGTAATTTGGAATTTCCACCATCAACCCTTGGCGTTGATGATCAAAAGCCTGATGAGGGGTCTTTAAGAAAGATCTCCTGCTACAACAGGAATCAGGAGAAAGAAGAGAAATGTCCAGATGCTTCTGTTGTCAAGGAACAGTGTGCTAATAATGACTCAAGTTGCACCATTATTGTGGACAAGCCATCTGCAAAACATGCAAATGATAATCTCTATGTTTCCTCCCATTTGGTTGAGCCTGTAGAAAGGGCAAGTGATGCTAGGAGTTTGGATCCTGGAACTTCACCTGATTCAGAAGTGATAAATTCAATCTTAGATATTCAAGTTGGAGCAATACGTCAGGAAAATTTTCAGGACTCAGTTTTGGCATCCTCAGACAATTTTGCCGCTTCTGGACATGTTACCAGTAGTAAGAATGGAAGGAAAGAGAAGCCCAGTGAGGTCGTTACTCATTCTCAGGAAGGTGGCACAGGTGCTTCTGCTTGCAGGAACATGTCCAAAGCATCAAAGAGACATGGAAAAAGACTGAATGTGGACAATCAGCTTGGTTCTGGTGAGACGTTAACTTACATTGGTGCTATTGTTTTAAACTAATTTTTAACTGTAAAAGGAATTGTTTATGGAGCAAGTGCCTTTGTCACAGGGACTGAACTTCCAGAAGAGGCTTTGAAAGTGGAAGGTGCTCTCGAAGTTAAAGAATGTTGCAGAACAGATGTTGGCAGTGTCTTTCCTGAATCAGAGACTTTGAAAACATTTCTTCCTTCTCAATCTGCAAGGAAAAAACATACCAAAAATTCAAGACCTATTAAAACAAGTAAAGGCAGGTCCAAAACTACTTGCTCAAAAAGCAAAGTACAGAATGCTTCTAAAGAGAGGGTTTACCAACGGAAGTCTGTTAATAAGAGTAAAATCAAGAAGGGTGTATGCCAACAAGTTTTGACTGAAACGGAAAGTCACCAAGTAGTGGGTAATTTTTCTTTATTTGATTATGAGTTCACTTGTAGATTTAATTCTTCTCCTTCTCTGAACATGATTATCAGAGTTGTTTTTGTTCTAGATTAGTGCTAACCCATTGGAAAAATTGAAAATTTCTTTCTAATTTTACTTGAATTTTTTAGGACATTACCTTGTAGACAAGCCAGAGAAAAGCGATGACATCACTACATCCACTGCGGCAGTAAATTTGAATGTGGTTCAGGGCGCTGTGAATGAGCAGTATACACCTCCTCGGAATGCTTGGGTGCTCTGTGATGATTGTCATAAATGGCGACGCATACCAGCTTCTCTTGTTGATAGTTTAGGACATGCAAGTTGCACATGGTACACATTTATTCATCACATACCACTTAAAGGGTGGCAGTGATTCAAAAGTCTTCTTCAATTGTTAAAAATTTTTCTTTTTAGACTCACAATTTGCATTAGAATATTAGAATGTATTCTCATGCAGCATTTTCATGAACCGGCATTCTACTATACCATTTGTAGGCACCAGTAACTTAGGAATGGGGGGTTGGGATTGTCATGAACCGGCATTCTACTATACCATTTGTAGGCACCAGTAACTTAGGAATGGGGGGTTGGGATTGAAGAAACTTTAACTTCTACTATACCATTTGTAGGCACCAGTAACTTAGGAATGGGGGGTTGGGATTGAAGAAACTTTAACTTAGCCTGAGTGTTGCTTAGCAAATATAGATTGGTAGTTGGTGAAATGCCATTTTTTTTTTTGTTTTGTTAGGCTGCTTACTCTTTGAGCTACCATATATATTTTTTTATTTTCTCATGAACCGGCATTCTACTATACCATTTGTAGGCACCAGTAACTTAGGAATGGGGGGTTGGGATTGAAGAAACTTTAACTTAGCCTGAGTGTTGCTTAGCAAATATAGATTGGTAGTTGGTGAAATGCCATTTTTTTTTTGTTTTGTTAGGCTGCTTACTCTTTGAGCTACCATATATATTTTTTTATTTTCTCATTTTTGTTACAAAATTGGATATTTACATGAAGCGATTTATATATATATGTATATATATATATATATATTTTCTGGAAATAGAGTCGTCAGGGGATTTTCATATTACCATCTACACTCTGTTTTTGGGATATTATTGAACTTACGAGAGAAAGGACCAAGTCATACCATATGCCTGGGTTATGGTATTTTCAATCTTGTGCTAAATGTAGTTCCATGTTTTTCACTGTCCTTTTGAAGAGAACTAAGGTGGATGTGTGGGCTCTTATTAGGTTCCATGAGTTTCTTTGGGCTTTGGTTGCTAAGTTATTTTGTGGTTTCCCTGTTAGTTTTCATTTTACTTGATTAGAGCCCATTTTTGTTTTAGTTTGATTTTTTTTTTAATGGCTTGGTTTTTTCTATCCCCTTGTATTCTTTTATTTTTTCTGAATAAAAGTTCGGCATGATTAAAATTTACTATGCCCTTGCTCCTTGACATCATATAAATTTTCTAATTTTTTCATGAATGAACTTTAATAAACTCTCGTGGTATTAAATAGTTTATTATTGTGGAGTGTATCTTGTTCGTATTTTTTGAATATGCTTTTTACAAATTAATATAGTTAAAGCGGTTATTTTTTTGGTATCCTCTGGTTTTTACTTCGCCAAATCTGTTTGTTTTTCTTGCATATTATTTTTCTTTTTCTAGTACCAATATACTACAAGAACTTTTGATCTCCACTTTTTTGCAACTCCTTGGATTGGGGCATCTTTTCCTTTTTTTTGGGTGTAAATTTCATACATCAGCAATTTTTTTACTAGAAAAATATGTGTATATCATATTTTACAATGATTTTTAAAATTTGTAAATTTAATTTATCTTCGTTTGTCTTTAAAGGACTTGTAAGGACAATGTGGATAAAGCTTTTGCTGATTGCTCAATCCCACAAGAGAAGTCAAATGCAGAGATTAATGCTGAGTTGGAAATATCTGATGAATCTGGGGAAGAAAATGCTTCCAATAAACGGCTAACTTATAGGGAATTAGAGAGTTTTCATCCAACAACAGGTACTTGGATGTAGCTTGGGCTGCCATAATAGTACTATAAAGTTTGGGCTTAAGTTACAATTTTCCTTAGGAAGTACATATAATGATAATAATGATGATCATGATGATTATAACTACTTTTTAAGCCTAATATCCTGCATTTCTTATAGTTGACACGTGACTTCTGTTCTTTTTTACAGTGACGGCAGTTCCTCAGGAGAACAAATTTTCTTCAATTAGTAGCAATCAGTTTTTGCACCGCAGTCGTAAAACTCAAACTATTGATGAGGTGCATTTTTCTAGAAGTGTTTTGTCATGATTAATGATTATTAAGATTTTTATGCATGCGCTCTAAAGGTTCAAAGTGGGTTTAACTAGTATGCTGAAACTTTCTCAAGTGTATTAGTTGGGAAACATGGAAAATGGTAAGTGGAGAAAAAAGAAAAAAAAAAAACATTTGAGAAGTGTGCTGTGAGGTTTGGATGATTTTCATATCTTTGTGTCTTTAGCTATGGAGATCTTGTTTGTATTCTCATGTTTTTGAGTTTCCTGTGTGTTTTTCTTGTTCTGTTGCTTTGGCTAGGGTTAGATACGTTGCCTTTTGTCATACCAATATACATATATTTTTTGGAAGAAAATATGGGTTGTTTCTACTAATTTAATTCATACACTCTTTCAATCAAATTGGGGGGTACCTGTAAATTTAATTTCATATTCTTGTGCCTTCAGTAATGGAGGTTTTTGTTGTATTCTCATGTTCTTGATTTTCCGGAGTGTTTTTTAGCTCTGTTGCTTTGGCTTGGGATAGATACCAAGCCTTTTGTCATTCAAATATACAAATATATATATATATATGTATGTATGTATGTATGTATGTATATACATATATATGGAAGAGAGTGTGGGTTGTTTCTATTAACTTAGTTCATACAACCTTTCCATCAAATGGGGGTCTACCTGTAAAGTTATTATATTGTTTCCTTAATAAGGCAAATCATTAACTAAGAAAGCACAATGTAGGAGATATACGATCTCTTTGTACTACTAAGAGCAATTAAGAAAGATCCTTCAATTAGTTGTAATTAAAAAAGGAATGCTGTAGTCCTTTGGGAGGAAACTTAACTTTGAAGCAAGAAAAGAAGTGCTATAAGTTCTAGAAAATCCCGGTAAACATCCTTGAAAATCTCCTATTCCTTTCTAACTAAAAGTGTTATGTCCTTTCCAGCACTAGACTGGCTCACAAATCTTCCCCTTACCCATCGCACTTTGGCTGAGCTAACCCTGCTTTAGAAAATCCTTAGTCTTTCCTAAAAACGTGGTTAAGGACCTCCTTCCAAATTTAACTGACTTTTGATCCACAAATTCCCTGTATATTCGAGCAGCTTCCATCAGTGGGAGAGGGACAAGTGTTGTTTTTCAGTTCATTTTTTCACAGAACAATAAGCAGGGAAATGATTCACGGAGTTGGTTGATGGTTCCGTTTGTTTACTAATGCTTGCTTTTTCACAGCTCTTTATCCTCTATGCGTCTATGTATGTTGTAGAATATATATTTTTAATTTGAAGTTTCATTTCTCAAAAAAAAAAAAAAAAAAAGTAATAGTCAGCGTATCCATGTAATTTATTTTCTAGTTGGGGGAATGTTTGAAAATGGAACTTGTCACTGCAATGCGTTTAGATTTATTAAGGCAGGGTACAGTCTAGAGTACATTTTTTAATAAGACAGTCTATGGTGTATTGCTCTTCATAAAGTTGATGTGAAAAGTTCGAGAATAAAATTGGAAACTTTGACTGTGGTTATGGAAGTAATGTCCACAGGAACGCTGAATGGACATAGAATGCACAAGATTTTTTTCTATGATAAAAACAGAGAAGGAAAATATTTCACAAGAGGATCAAGAACAATCTAAGTGAGGGGGTAAAGAGCACCCCCCAAAACCTATACAAAGAGAGCTTTTCAATAATTTATGATCTTCAGAACGCTGTAATTAAAAATAATCACGTGTGAAGAAATCCACCAAGAAGCCATATTTTGTTCAAAAGTTATTGTATTCCTTTCCTTGTACATGTGCCACAAAAGATCTCTAAAGGTACAACTTCGAACTACCTTGGCTTTACCTTTAAGATTTGAAACAGTTAACTCTTCCATCATTCAATCATCCACTTTCTGGGGTAAACAAAACGAGATTCCTAGCAACCCAGCCGCAAAACTCAACGAGCGAAAACAAAAATCACAATGGAGAATCAGATGGTCGATAGTCTCATCCTTTTTTAAGCACAATCTACAACCTGAGGGTGAGAGGAACCAGCCCTTAACTCTCTTTGCAGCCTATCATCCGTGTTGAGACTCCTGAACTCCAGGGACCAGAGAAAAATTTGAACTTCTTTTGGGGCACTTGTTCTTCCTATTAAACCTGGGTAAACCTGTATTTACCTTGGAATGTACAGAAATTTATGGAAAATATACAGTGGATGAAGTTGATGTTCTAACGCACCTGAGTCGTGGAGTTGATGGAGTAGCTATTCTCATAAAGTTTGGTTGCTGAGGCTGCTTCATTTGTTGTCCTATTGTTGATTTCATATATATTATTTTCTTTTCTTGTAGGATGGTGAACAAATTTATCTATCTTCTCTTTGGCTAGGATAAAATATAATTTGTTAGCACATATGACCAGTGGTTGGAATCAGTATCTTGTAGGCAATTTTGTTTTTGTCTGTTCGTATATTTTATTGTTCTTCATCTTATCATGATTTGTCAGTGTTGGAAACCTTCAGATGGCCAATTAGGTTGAGTTTCAATACATCTAGGCCAATGTTGTATTGTCCTGATTTTGTATATTTCTGAATCTTAATCAGATAATGGTTTGTCATTGCAAACCATCTTTGGATGGCCGGTTAGGATGTGGAGATGAATGCTTGAATCGAATGCTCAGTATTGAATGTGTCCGAGGTACATGTCCTTGTGGAAACCTTTGTTCTAATCAACAGGTATAGCTACCTTTTCTTAAATCTCTAGTTTGAACTTCTTGGTAAAATAAGTAAAGTTCTGATGGAATAGTGAATTTAATTTTTGAATATGTGGTTTCAGTTCCAGAAACGCAAATATGCCAAATTACGGTGGTTGCGATGTGGAAAGAAAGGTTATGGGCTGCAGTGTCTTGAAGATATATCAAAAGGACAATTTCTCATCGAGTATGTTGGAGAGGTAATTGTGAAATCCATATTCCAAGACATTTTGTAGGATGATATATGGTTACTTTTCATGTACCCTGAGAGTTGCATATATATATTTCTTGGTTCATTTGATTTGTCTATCATGTTTATTAACACGTGCTGGTAAGAAACTACTATTTTTGTCGGACCAATAGTGTAATGTCCATTATGATTTCACTCTTTCCGCTGAAAAAAAGAAAAGAAAAAGTGCAACCGTGTGAATATGTCCATGAATATGTGAATCTCATTATGACCATAAGAATGGAAGGATAACGGGTAAGTAATGAGAATGTGTATAGAGGTCAAAGTCCTTTATAGTATGAATTTTCTTTTGTCCGACCAGAGATGTTATCCGTAGCCTCCTTTGGTATGTGGTTTGACTTTTCCCCTTTTCTTGATTTCATCTCATTAATGTAATTGTACCTTACACACATTTTGATGTGTTCAATGTTTTATGATTTTATGTCAATCATATTTATTTTTTATTTCTATTATTTGGTCTATGCAGGTTCTTGACATGCATGCTTATGAGGCACGTCAAAAGGAGTATGCATTGAATGGTCATCGACATTTTTACTTCATGACACTCAATGGCAGTGAGGTTGAATCTTTATTTTCTTTGCTAATGTTCTTAATTTGATCTTGTTCTTAACACATGTTTTATTGTGAGGTTGTCACCTTCCTACTGTAGGATCTTATTTTGATCGTTAAGTTATGGGTTTGTAGAATGTGCGAATTCTTTATTGAAATTTATTACGGTATATTGCTTCTTATATACGATTTGATTCTATCTACTATAAGACTGAATATACATAACATTGAACTATGGGAATTTATTATAAGTTTATAACTTACTATTATAGAGTCCTTCAATCTAATGTAAATATCCTTATGGCATCATGTGGGTGTTATGCTGTACTTATTTTTCTTTGACAGGGGAGCTTCTCTCTATCCTTAATGGGCTCTGTTCTCTAACGATGGAGGTTTTTCTTTAGATGCAGTTTAGAGGGGTGTGGTTCCATGTGAATGCTACGTAAGTGTCACGTATGATTATTTAGGGCCTAAAAGAAAATAATTGGAGATCAAAAGAATGCTCAAAGCTAAGGCCTAGTGGCATTAGAATTTAGATGTAAGTATAAGGGCAAAGTTGCAACTAACCTTTGAAATCCATGAAATTTATTTATATTGTTTGTCTAGATTAGAATAAAAACCTCTGTGAAAACTGTTACTTCTCCTGCTAAGATTAGTTGGAAGTCCTCATTCTCCTGGAGTTGTCTTTGCCACTGTACGTGGTAACAAAAAGATAGAAGGCAGTGGTAATGTATGGTCTCTGAGACAGCCTTGACCAAGCTACTCCACTTGATTAAATGTGTAAAAGTATAAGATCATTGCTTAACATGTTGAAGGAAAATATGACCCAATGAATACCTTGATGAGGTGTGACTCACTTTATTCTAGATTAAGCCTAAGTCATAAGTTGGTGCAAGTTTTCATTGGTTAAGATTGTGGCGCTAATTGTTGAGCCATCATTATTGGATGTGTTTACTTGGGTCATTAATTTGAACATGTGCTTGCAGAACATTTGGCGGATTTTTTCTTTCACGTTGGTGTGCTTGAGAAGCTTTTGGTTTTGTTATTCATTTTTGAGGCAAAGATGATTTTTAGTTCGTTATTGATGATTTTGTTTCATAAAAGAGTTCTCGTCTTTAGATGCTGATTATCTTTTTGGAGGTCTGGCTGAAGCATGCTGCCATTTTTTTATAGCTCGAAGGAAATGGTTTTAGTTGGTTTGGTTTGCTGGTTTTCAAGTTGTTCTCAATAGATTTTTCCTTGGAATTACTGAATGCTGTCTTTATCTATAATCAGATTCTCTCCCCCGTTGAGTGAACTCATGAGCTTCCTTGGTGATATGAAGTTATCTCCTTTCGTTCCTCTTAATTTGCTCTTCCCCTTGGCCATCATTCTAGATGTGCCTCCATTTAGAAATCGGTCTTGTAGAAATTATAAAAACCTCATGCCTTCGAGAAGAAAGTCTTCTTTTTGAACGAAGGTGAATTGACCCTAATCCACTTTGTGTTTAGTGGTATCTTGATTAATCTCTTATGTTCAAAGAGGATTATGAGAGACTTCATGTGGGAAGGAGTGAAAATGGTTGGGAGCTTTTTTCTTTTTATTTCTTTTTATTTTTTTTATTTTTTATTGACAAGATGCAAATTTTTTTTTATTAAGAGACTAATGTAGAGCTCATCTTATCGTTGGGAGGTGGAGCTAGGGTGTTAGGTAATAGTAACCTAAGGTGGCCTAAAGATTCCCTTTAGGCCAAATGGTTGTGATGTTTTCCCTTGGAGGTTAATGCTTTATTGCTTAGGGTTAATGGTTGTGACGTTTTCCCTGGGAGGTTAATGCTTTATGGCTTAGGGTTATTGCGTGCAAGTACAACCTTCATCCTTATGAATGGGTTGCTAGAGGGATTTTGAACGGCACTTTCACACACCTTGGAGGGTGATTGCGCTTGGCCTCCCCTTTCTTAGTTTGTCAAATGTTTGGTGGGGAATGAGTCTAGTACTTACATTTGGAAAGAAGGAAATCAGACAATATTTGCAGAAAAGATACAGACCTACACAAAACTTTCGACAATGTTGTTTACCAAGCTATATCTTGGTGGAAAATGTCCAATATTTTTACTTCCTATAGTTATACCTCCCTCATTGAAAATTTGGAAGGTCTTTTGTAAACACCTTGGATTGTACATCCCTTTTGTAAATTTCAATCATCAATGAAATTCTCTTATTAGAAAAAAAAAAAAAAAAAAAAAAAAA